GAGGGTCACATGGGTCCAGCTGTCCATTCCCCCTCTGTGGCCTGGAGTATTAGACTCCGACACCCCTTACCCCCTCAGTCCTCACCCCTGCAACCTCCACCCACCCCCACCCTCTGTGGCTCTCAGACATGCAGAGTGTCCTGCCAAGGAATACAAGGGCACCGCCACATGTCACCCATTAGCTGCTGTGTAGACACTCAGAAAATGTACACCACATAGGCAAACTCAGTGACACAGCCTGAGTGTGTGTGTGTGTTGGGAAATAATTGGTAAGGGAGCAGCTGAGGAGAGGCGGCTGATTTCCATCACTGCTCGCTGTTCAGTCTACGAACCAGAAAGCAGTCGTATTGTTGTTTGGGGTAAAAAGTTCATTCTTTTATTTTTGGAGTCCTTCTGTTTCACACTGAGTCTATTAATAACGAGGAGGTTTGTACGCGGAGGGTGAGCTGGGTGGAGATTTGCCGTCATCCTGCAGAAGATCAAACTCTGCATTAAATAACACCGCCAAACGCTTGATTCTTATTGTTTTAAGCACTACTCCTCGGCCTAAAATTCCCTCTCTTTGCTGCAACATGCTGAGTGTGCTTGTCGGTGAGCACTCTAAATTTAAACCGTGTTGATCCTTGTAGTGTTGTCCTGAAACGAGGAAGGCTCAGCGTGACTCACACACTAGATATTCACTCTGCCACCGGCGTGCTGCTGCTTGCTGCACATCATTTTGATACTATCACATTGCTACGCTTATGTTTTTTTTTGTTGTTTTTGTTGTGGCAAAACACATCAATTATGGCTTCATGTCAGAAGCTGTCAGTTGGTGCATTCCTGCTGAACAAAACAAGCAGCAGACAATAACAGAGAGGAGGAGAAAATTACACAGTGCACTTCATTAGTGCTGCCACTGATGGATACATTAGTCATTAGTGGTTGATGTTTCTTATGTGTGTAAAATATGCATCGCAAATTTGTTTTGTCCAACCAGCAGTTAAAAACCAAAAGTATTTGATTTAAAACCATATACAATAGCCTTAATGATACACAAATTTGGCCATAATTCATACTGTAAGAGGTCAGAGACTGTCAATAATTAAAAGCTCTGAGCTGTTTACTCTCAAGTATTTTTCCTCACTGTGGGCTCATTTTCAGCAGCAGTGTAAAGTCCTGCACCTCTATGGAAACGGCACAACCATGACTAGAAGCATAGAGAACTCAAAGTCTTTTTTGCACCATGCCAATGTTAGAATGCCATAAATCACAAAAAAGGAGGAAAAAGCTGTTTTGTTTTTTTTTTTTCTTTATTTTACAGAAACATTTTTTCAAGTGCCCACAGGTGCTACCAATACTGGAATAATGACGTGAATGAATGGATGAAGCAAACTGACATACTCTACATATTTTACTATTTACGTCCTCTCTGCTCTGTGTAAACACAGCCTGCAGTTCAGCTGAAAACCCTCTGAACACATGACTGTTGGTCACAGCTAAGTCAGTCATTGTTTCTCAGTATGCATTTCTGTTTGATTAATTTTTAAAAGGACAGGTGGAATATAAGTGTAAGGTGGCTCGGTGGTTAGCACCGTTACCTCGCAGCTAGAAGGTCACCGGTTCACGTCCCGACTATGACGCCCAGGATCTTTCTGCGTAGAGTTTGCATGTTCTCCCCATGCAGCGTGGGTTCTCTCTGGGTTCTCCGGCTTCCTCACACAGTCCAAAAACATGCTGAGGTTAATTGGTGATTCTAAATTGTGCGTAGGTGTGAATGTGAGTGTGCTTGGTTGTCTGTCTCTATGTGTAGCCCTGTGATAAACTGGTGACCTGTCCAGGGTGTCCCCTGCCTTTGCTCTGAGTCAGCTGAGATAGACTCCAGCCCCCCCCCGCGACCCCAGTGAAGATAAAGCGGTGTATTGATGGATGGATTGATGTAGAATATAGGGATTTTGATTAAATGCCATGTTTAAGCTTAGATTTAGATGTTTTCCAGACAGAACCACGTCTTACAGGATTAGTTAAAAGACAACTGAACGATTCACAATTTTCTCAGTTTTTACAGCTCGTTGATTGATCCAAACAGTGTAGCACTCTCAGGTTCTGGATGCAGGAATTTAAACATTTAGTGTGAGGTAATACATTGTACACGATTCGGACCGATCACAGTGTCTGCAGCTTTAAAGGCTAACTCTGTAGCATGCTGTAGCACATAGACAACAGCTGGTGCTCTGACAAAATGTCCCAGCTGGGACACAACACTCAGCACAGAGTTTATGTTGCCGGAGACGTTGACATAAAAAGCAGTTTTCCACTGCAGGAACTTGTGCGTTGTTCTATGGCAGCCTGAACCTTTGAACGTGTTCTGACTTTAGGAACTGCCCCTGTAGTCACCCTGTAGGGTAGGTACTTATGACACAGTGATTTAATTGAAATGTGAAACAACGCAATTATCAAATCACAAAGGCTTTAATCGAGAATGCATGTTATACAACTTGTTTGACCAAGGGTTTTAGCTGTTTTTCAAATCCTCACATATTTAATGGGGCCTCATGTGGTTGCGCTTCATCACATTTTAAATCTGTTACCCAGTGAATATTAAACTGAAACTAGACATTGAAAAATTATATTGCAAATCAAATCATAATAAAAAAACACACTTGGATTACTATTCTTATTTTTCCCAAATTCTTGAGCTCTATTATGAGCACGATTATGAGGAACCCAGATATAGTTACACCCTGTTACATCTTAGAGTTTGTTTCACAGAAGCATTATCTTTGCACAAGTCATTATGTTGTGTAACACGGTTTATTACTACCAAGCGGACCAATCAGCGTTCAGCCTTAATTCAAAGCGTTGAAGAAAATATCCGATGAATTTCAATGTGCAAAACCCATTTTGTAATTTGAATTTTAAGCTTTGGCTGTGGTTCAAGCACAGTGCTCTTTAAATATGTAGCCAAATAACTGTTGAAAATATGTGCTGCCACCCAGCTCTTATATTATAAATAATGATGATGATGGTAATTAAGAGATGAAGCCAAACTAAACTGGTTATAAGGAGACTGATTTTCTGCCCTTTGTTCGGAGAGTGCACACCTTCGTCATTGCCTCATCATGAGTCCACGTTTCATTCTTGGTTTCAGCCCGTATGCCTGAGGGCTGCCACCTCCTGAAAGCAGTCACACTCTGCTGTCGTCGCCCTGCCGATGACACAAAAGCTGCCAAGAAAACCTGCTGAGTGTGTGTGTTGTGTGTTTGTGTCTGTCCCGGTGTGTGTGAACATCCATTTAACTGCGTGTGAACATCCAGTTAACTCGGCGAGCAGAGCTCTTAAGCTGCACTTCAGGAGTGAGACGCAGGTCACATGGCACACGCAGACACACACAGACATATACTACATGCACAGGAGTGTTTTCACTGAGACACAAAGATCCTGCTATACTGACTTTAAGAAGACCCCTCATTACCTCGGCTTTACCTGTTGACCAAACAAATACGGCTTCATGCTGCGTTAGACAGCATCAAGCCGTCTGCAGCAACACGCTTTAACATTTACCAGCTTTGCTGTATATTGTGACTGTAGGAAAATCAAATTATACATGACTATGACATCATTCTGACCAGTCAAAACAATAATTAAAGATATCTAGAGTAATCCAGTTTGGACTGGTCAGAATAACAGCTCAATCTCAATCCATCATTGCCTTCCACCTGAGCTCCTCAGAATCAGCAGATTTTTTTTTATATACAATAACTTAAGTACATCTAATGAAACAATGCAAAATTTTACCTTTGTACTATATGCAAAGTTACAAGTTGTTTTCATGCAAAACAACATAGGCGCAGCTAATTTTTGCCCACTGAATGTTCCCATAGATATACTTGACATAAACACTGAACAGAGGAACTGATGACAATTCGACACACATCACAATAAATCTCATGTTTAACGAACGTCATGGTTAGTGCTTGTCACAAGACAAGTGAACCAGGACAATGCAGGAGGGATTTCCTTTCTGCAAATAAACGTAATCTAAGTCCACTTAAGAATGGTGACTTGTCTGCCAATGGCTTCCCAGGTACATGTTTTTGCGGTTGAAAATACAAAAATGCCCAGCTCTGACAACATCTGAGATTCTTAAAATTCTGCTAAAATATTTTACAGAACTCAGTTTTTGGTCCCTATCTAAAATGACTGTAAATTTTCTTGGGTAGTGTTCATTATGCTCATGTGAAAATATCTTTCAAAATGTGATATCCTTATACAAATTCAAACTCACTGAACGCTGATTGTAAAAACCTTGATTGAGCAGACTTTAGTGACGGTCGAGGTGTTTCCCGCTCAGTTGTCCTCATTCAGCTCCACCCACAGAGGAAGTTTTCTGGCGAGCGGTTAAATTCCCGTCTTCAAGTGTGGTTTTTCAGAAGCTGCAGCTGTTGTTGTATGCAGCGTATAACAGGGGCAGGCAGTTGCATGTGTATTATTTGCATTTTGACATGCCAGGTTGTTTCGCTTCCTCCAGAGCGTACAGTTAACCCCCTGAGGAAGCTGCTCTCTGGGTGTGTCGGGGGGATCCAGCAGCAGCGACATGAAAACACACAATATGTTGCCTGTCTGTGCGTGCATGGCGGTTAACCTCTTCACCAAAGCACAACATGACACCCACACGCAAGCCAGTTTTTGGAATTAGATGTGGTGTTCATACACGTTTCTGTTCAAGGTTTTGTTTTGTTCTTTTTGTTTGTGTCGCCTGGGCGATGAGTTGATGCAGAAATCTAAAAAACCTGTTTATGCTCTTCTCTCATCCTTGTATGTGTGTGGGAATGATGCATATTCTCATTTTATTACATCCCATTCATAAAAAATTGTATCTATTGTCAATATAAGCTCTTTTATAAAGGGGGCTGTTGATTTTTTGACATTATCTTTTGAAAATCGTGCACTTGGAAGTATGAAACAGTTCTTGACCTTCGGTTTTTAATGCCATCATGTTTTGTTTCTCTTTTCTCTGCAGAAGCCAGCCAGAAGTTTGGGATTGAGAAGTGAAAATAACACAAGGACCTGAAAGTTAATCGAAGGAGCCAGAGGAGACTTGTGATTAAAAAAAAGGAAGAGCAACAGGAAAAATAGCGAAGATGGGGAGGAAAAAGATTCAGATAGCTCGGATTATGGATGAACGGAATCGACATGTAAGCAAATACACACATTGACAATCACCTTAGAATCTGTCAAACGTCAGAGTAACAACAGTAAACAGCAAAGCTTAGGCACAAATGTGAATTACAAGCAGTTGGATCGATGCAATATAAAATCCTTTACCTCTATGGAAACATCACAACCATGACAGGAGTAGTGAGCACTAATATCTTCTGTGTAATATGACCCAATTAGAATGCCATAAACTATAAAATAAAAAAATAAAAAATTCTCTGAAATTTTATTTGAACCAAAACTAGAATAAACATGTGTAACATTTTTCCAAGTTTCCACAGGTGTTACCATTACTGAAATATATATATTTTTTAAAATCTAGATGCTATTGATATTTACCTGGTTACATCGTATAAAGACTGTCACCTAAAAAAAACCTTTTTTGTTGTTGTTGTTTTTGTTTTTTTAGATTTGGGGGCTTAGATTTGGTTTAGATTTCAAACAGCACACCACACATGAGTATTTTACATCAAAAAGTTGTACATCTTTCTTTCTGTTTTTATAGTTTCTGGCTGAAAAAATGTGTAATGTTGATGATTTAAAAAAAAGAAGATAATATGCCTTTAAAACCTGTTGACAGGTTTTGGTGTCCAAAGGGTTAAGTGTAAATGAAACATATATCCCTGTAAGGATAAAACAGCAGCCTCCTCCTCACAGAGAAGCGTTGGTACCAGTGTATGGTCCAGCGGAGGACGGTGAGGTCAGTCCTGTGACGGAGGTCAGGAAGCACATGTGCCTGCATTTCCTGACATAACAGGAAGAGAGGAACTTTGTGTGTGTGTGTTCATATGTGTGCACTTGTGTGTGACAAAGCAGCCATGCAAAACTCCCATCGACAGTGTGCCCTCGTCACTCTGCTGTCATGTTGCGCTGATTTGCTCTGTACAGTCGCTGAGTGTGAGCGTCACATGATATCAGCCAGAGTGTGTCTGTCTATGTGAGCAGCTGCTGTTGTGTTTGAGTGTAAAAGAAGGAGAAAGAGTGAATATATTTGGATATCAAAATTGCGATTCGAATACCACCACAACGACTGAATATTCGCATATTGGGGTTCAGCCCTAGTTTTATTCAATTTTCTGTAAATTAATCATATAAATTCTACTTTTATTGTCTTTTTCAAAATTATTTCTGTCATTCTAACTCTATCTTACTGCAATGAAGACATGCCTCAGTTCTCTTTACTTCTAGTCATGGTTGTGCTGTTTCCATAGTGGTGCAGGACTTCATCTTGCAGTAAATAATGAGTCCACAGTGAGAAAAAACTTTACCATAGCAAAAAACATCATCTAGAAACTCAATGAAAAGCTGCAGCTTCATTCAACGTGAGTTTGATTTTTATGCCTCTGGCTGTGATGGCGGAGGTGAGGGAAAGTGGTGGCAGTGTTAAAAATAGTCCAAACGCAAGCAGATGATCACATGATCGAACCTCTAGGTTAGTCAAACTTACGTGGAAGACAATGTGAAGGTAAAGATTCATCTTCACTGCTTCATTCTTACTGTAGTGTGAGCAGTTTTCCTGTGCAGTCAGGGATCATTTCCTTTAAATAAAGAGGTTCAGTTTCATCTGGTTAACCTGCTTGTTGGTTTACAGCCTGACGGCTTGGGTTTCATCTCCTGGACATGTTTTTTTAGCTTTGCTGAAGGGACATTTTAGCTTCAGTGAGTTCGAGGTTATCAGAACAATTCAATAGCTGGAGCTGCAAAATACAACTTAATCTGTTTTTGGTCTGCAACTAGTTTTAGATGTGTGTCAAAGTAGCATCCATATGAATGCAGGACCCAAGGTTTCCCAGCTGGGCATTGCATCAGAACTCCATTAATACTGAAACTATTCAGCTGTCAGTAAGTTTAATGCTGTGGCTGTTTGGTGTATTCTCTAGATAGTACATAAATGTTTTATCTAAGGATTTCTCACCTGGGCCAGTCAATTGGCCTGATCTTTTGATCATGTCCATGGTCACACAGGTGTCTTTTTTTTTTTTTTACTTTGCCTAACATTATTGCTCATAATGCAAAAGCAGGAGACAGTATTCTGTCAATGTAGCGATGTGCCATTTTTTGTGTATAGACTTAATTATTTCCTCAAGCAGCTTCTCTTTTCTCTGTTGTACTAATTTCTGTAAAAGTAATAGTCCAGGTGATTTGTGCCAGATTTGAAATTGTATGTTCACTTAAAAAAAAAAACAAAAAAAAAACATGAAGCTTGGTATACTGGCAGAATTTGGGACCTCATGCCTAGTTTGAAAAATGCTTATAGTTTGAGTGCATCTACATTCCAAGGGGAGATGATTCCAGCAGTGGCCAGTAATGTTTGTAACTCCTGAACCACAAACACAGTAGAGCTGTGTGTCTATAAAAACCAATGTTCTTTTAATAGAAGCTCCAACAGTGAAAGAGTTCAGGAACCAAAGAGAAAACTGCCAATCAAAACTGTCAGTCAGTGGCCTGACTGAAGCTTTCAGATGTTATTAACAAAGACATCGGTTCCAAAATGACCACCGGCACCCTGATCAGAGGGACTGAATTTAGTGACTGAGACCAAAACAACTTGTTGAAAACATATCGTCTCAGAAATTCTTGAGAGAATTTGATGCAGCTTGACGGATTTTTTTTTTTTTTTGAGCCAGCATCTTGTAGCCATCAGTGGCATTTGAAGGCACTTCATCAAAAGTTTACGCTTGCACTAAACACAAAGTGCAGCTGAGATTGATGGGACTGTTATTGTTTTTCAGGTATTTGGTCCTAAACCAAAGTACTGGACACATTCAAATGTTGACTCAATGGCACTGATGTAAAAGGATCACTGAGGCCATCAGTTATCGTCTACTGAATATGAATGTCTGAACCAAATTTTCTGATAATCCATTTGATTGTTAAGATATTTCTGGATCAAAGCAAAAAATGCAGAGGCATGATTTACAAACTGCTAAACGGGGTAAACTAAGTTAGACGCAAATAACTTCCATTTGCCAAGCCAAACAACAGCATAGGCAGTAAAACAAGAATGATTTCCAGCAGTGGTAAATCCACAAGTACAGACGTCTCATAGTGTTTCTTTTCTCCAGGTGACGTTCACGAAGCGTAAGTTTGGCCTGATGAAGAAAGCATACGAGCTGAGCGTGCTGTGCGACTGCGAGATCGCCCTCATCATCTTCAACAGCACCAACAAGCTGTTTCAGTACGCCAGCACCGACATGGACAAAGTTCTGCTCAAATATACCGAATACAATGAGCCGCATGAGAGCCGGACCAACTCTGACATCGTGGACGTAAGTACAGCACACTTTTTGACACATTGTGGAGCTAAACCAGTAAGGACTTTAAAACAAGAGGTCACATTTAAAACTGTATGTTGTTGGTAACACATGCAGAAGAGCCAGAACCAGGACATTCTTTTCTTTGTAAGTTGGAAGACAAAACAAATCTGAAATGGATGACTGATGTAACTTGCGTTGGATGATATTGTGTTGTATTAATGGTGTAAAAATACCATAAAATACAGTCCACTCCTGTTAACCAGTGCTTTCTGATTGGTCGCTGCCACAGATGTTAATTAGTAACCACTGTACTAAAGGCTTTTATGTTTAAAACTAGTTGGTAGTTACTACACACCAAAGAGCAAAAAAGATGAACATGTCTGATAATTTGTTGTTCGCAGACAGTGTTGTGAAGAATGCTAACAGTGTTTTTAAGAAACTGATGGAAACAGCAGTGAAGACTTTGTTAGTCATTTCTGTCTAGTCAAGAAAGCTACAAAAAGACAACTTTATGTTTTTACAGCCTTTGTTGAGTTTGTCCCAGTAAAATGCCTGACAGCTTTGTGGATGTAGATATGTTTGAAGTCTCGCTGCTGTTTTAGTAGTTTGATCTAAACCATGGTACAGGTGTATGTTTGTGGAACTGACTGCGGAACAGTTTGTGTGGATGTGTGAGTGACAGCACAGTGATACAGCATGTACTAGAGCAAACCTTGACTTACGTAACAGTGTTAGGACAACACAATAGCCAGTGCACTACACATGCAAACACACACTTGCACCCAGCTAAGCACACCGTGACACCAAGGTCATATTTAAGCTGCCACAAGTCAACTGTGTAGGCTGCAGTGTGGATCTGTGACACTGACAAAGCTAGAGTCAGCCAAAAGTCATGTATTTATTAAAAAGACAGTTGTATACAAGTTGCATTTTCTCTATTTTATTAAGAGCAGTGACGACAGGACTTCAGTTTTCCCCCACTGGGGACCACCCGCTAACAACACAACACACTTTTTCCGCCTATTTTCCCATAAAATGTATTCAAAATTTCACACTGGCTTCTATTTACTGCAAATTATACAAATACTTTCTAGAAACTCTAAAGTGCTGACTTTAAAGTTTTGAAGGAATAATAGTAAGTTATGTGTTAGCTGGTCAAAATAATGACCCTGACTATTAATGTGACAAAATTAGAGCTGACGTTTTGACCCTACAAAAATATACATGAAAAGCCAACATATCTAAGGATCCCCTATGAGCAAGCCATGCATAACTTTTAATTGATTGATTTATTTTTATTTTTTTTTACGTCAACACAAAGCTTTAGTGTCCGTGTGATTTAAAAGAGTGGCTTTAGAGGAAACTTTTCAATTGTGTGCTTTTAGATTAGAGCTGCGAATACCCAATATTTTCACTGTTGATTATTTTCTGGATTAGTCCATTAGTTGTTTGATGTTTAAAGTGTGATAAATGTTAGAAAATATCAATTACTGTTTTCAAAAGCCCTGGATTTCAACTGTCTTGATTTGTCTACAACCCTAACGTATTCAGTTTATTGTCAAGAAAAAAACCCCAGAAACTAATTATATAAGAAGCTGCAATGACAAAATGTAGACAGATTTTACTTAAAAAGATATTCAAACTGATTTGTAGACTATCAAATTAGATGTAGATGTTATTATTTAATAGATAACAACTAGTCAATGAATCAGTTACACACTTTTTAAAATCTACTGTCCTCTTGCTGGTTTCTGAGGTTCTGTGTGCTCTGACTTTACGTAACCACTTGAAACAGACAGTGAGCACAGAGGTGAATGAGAAGACTGTTGGTAAACAAGTCTTTAGTCACTGTGGACTTTTGCCAACCTTAAAGAAGATCTGCAGGGCCTAAAGTTAACGTTTGCCTTTCAACATGATGTAGCCTTTTTGGAGTGGGCCAACAAGCGCTGCAAGTAATAATAATTTTAGTTGTCCAGTAATGAGCATTTTTGATGAAACAAAGAACTGGACGTAAAGACAATGGATTGATTCACAACATAAGGCAGCAATTTTAGTAAAAAAAAAAGAAAAAAAAGAAAGAAAACATATAACATTTTGTTAGTTTACATTTCATTTTGGTTAAGCAGGTAGCATGCTCTTAGTGCACTGTGGTCCATTTAGTTCATCTCCAGAAAAAGATTAATTTTATTGATTCTTCACAAATATAATACAATTTAATATGTATAAAGGTACACATAAACAAATGGGATAAATTCCCTGAGAACATCAAATAGTGCAGAGTAGCTGTGATGCTGTGAGCAGTGACAGAGACAGTCAGAGGTAAAATGTGCAAGTGGCTCCTGATTTCTTTTTTTCCCACAACTAATCAATTGGTTGAGTCGACCAAGATTTTCTTTGATTCACTACAGCCTAACCAGAAAGATGAAATGAAATTCTTCTCAGCTTTGATCCACAGTATTTTGTAGATTTAAAGATAAAAACAAAAACATGGCTTGCTCTGGGAGATCCAAGGAATCATTGGATTTGTTATGTTTTCACATATGTTGTTGGGATAGTAACTTTAGTTCAATCTCAGTCAGGGTAACCTTATTTTTTAAAGGATTTTATCCATAAAGCTTAAATTACTTAGGTTAATTTTCATTAATAATAATACCGTTGGGTAGGGATTTTAATGATTAGTCAATTATTGGTTAACTCTTGTTAATAGTTTAACGTGTTAAAAATATATTAACTGGTAAGGCAGATGACGACAGATACACGTCAAAAAATTTATTGTAGATTAGCTGTAGTACTTAGTTGTGTTGGGTTTAATACTACAGCGACTCAAGGAGGTAGTCGCTTAGACTACAGACAGTTCTGATTTTCTGTGTTTGTATGAAAGCATTGTAGGAGTTTAGCTCACAATGGGCCACCATGACTGAGACTTTTGTAGCACTTAATGGCTTTCAGTCAGCATCCCTGTTGCCGGGACTTAGCTCAACTTATCACAGGCAGCATGTCTGTTGCCACATGGAGTGGCTTCAGCACTAAATCATAGCTAATTTAATGGGATTGGATTGAATTTAAATTGGATGCTCCTTATAGGCACTGTATACTGATGAACATGTGCAAACCATGATGCTAGTTTCCTATCAAATGAACCAGGAGCTGTCATTTGTCATTTTTTAAAAGAAAATTTGAGGGTAAATTCTGAGTAAAATTGACAGTCTTGCCACAGGTGGTGTTGAATTGCTGCTTATGTGTGCTGTTTGTGTGCACATGTACAAACATATATGTGCGTTCACCTGAGCCCTTTCATCCACGCGGCCAACCACATGGCCTCTTGGCCCACCTCACCACACCCGGGCTTACCCCACGGTAATCCTCTGTAATCTGCCACAATCCTATTTAGCTTGTTAGTGTAATCCGTGCAGGCAGCCTTTTCATCTCCGCCGCATCCACACAGTCTGACTTATTTACTGCCGTAACTGCTGCCACTGGACCTGCTGAACTTTAACCTCACATTTCAACCTCGCTGCTCTCCACCTTTGTCTTCTCTTTGTGTTATCCTTTCGGCTTTTGTTGGTTTTGCACTCCTTCATAGAGTGAAAGTATTGTGTTTGTTTGGATTAGAACTGAGAGATGAAAGCCAACAATAAAACAATCTTTACATATAAAAGCTACATTTGTATATTCTGACCGACTCTGCTCCATCTGTAGATTCTAAAGTTAATCATTAAATAATTAACCTTCATACATATATATATCTATATCTACATATCTATATATTTATATTTAAGTTTATTTAAACAATACTTTGAACTTTGCATATTTTTTATTTACTGCAAGAAAAACTTAGCTTAGAATTGGACAGTTAGCCATTTGCATGTAAAAATGGAGCTTTGACCATGAACATTTATTGTCTTTTTTTTCATGCCATAAAAAAAGGTAAATGCTGGTTTTTGTGTATAATGATGTTTTGAAAGATGATTCTGATATTTTAATGTCAAATTTTGTTTTTGACCTCAAAAACAGAGAAAAGAACTGAACTGAAGTTCCATTTTGTAACTTTTTGGGCTGTCAGCTGTCTTTAAGATATTCAGCTGCAGTTGTCATGTTGTCACACAACTGAACAACTTCCCAATCATCCTCATGGAGATGGGGCAGCTGGAGGCGTTTGTGTCTGTGTGTGTGAAGTAGTAGTTTGTCCAAGCACGTGTTTTCAGTGTGATTCCTGTGTTAGCTGATAGTGTTTGGTACTCGGCCAGCACACCTGACTTAATCTCACTACTCTCTGATTGGATGATTTAAGGGATAGAAATCTTTGGGAGGCATGTGCAGCCTCACGGCGTAGGGCAACAATGCACGGCTGTACATGATGCTGCGGCGGTGCCAAGGTTGCTCCCGCTGTGCCAGATCAGCGCGTTGGAGCTGCTCTCAGCTGGAAGGACTGATTTTAAAGGAGCAGTTCAACACTTTGAGGAATAAAGCTTTCTTTCTGTCTGAGGTTGAGTTGAGAAATCAGAGTATTTCCCCACTTTGAAGCAGTTTCTAAGCATTTGATTTGGTCCTGTTACATTTTTCCTCACTGTGGGCTCATTTTCACTATAATTTAATGTCCTGCACCACTATGGAACCAGCACAACCATGTTTAAAAGTAGAGAGAACTCAGAAATGTCTTCTGTCAGCATGACACAGGTAGAATGCCATCATAAAAAATGATTAAAAACATTTTTTTTGACCATTTATCAGGAAAAAAAAAAATAGAATCAACATGTCTTACATTTTACCAACACTGTTCAAGGATGAAATTTATTAGATGGTGCTATCTTGCACTGGCAGGGTATAGAGTTGATAGCAAACATGTTGTCTGCTATGTAGTGTGACATTCTTTGAAGAAATGGCACAGAGCTGGGCTTGCTGCTCCTTCCAGCTTCAAGTCTTTACTTGCTAAACAAGGCTAACCATGTCCTGACTCCTGCACTACTGCACAGACATGAAATTCATGTCAAGTTTCTCATCTGACGGAGACA